CAACCTCATGCTGTTAAAAACCTGTAGGACTGACTTTTTAATTTAATTCTATTTATTTATTTATTTGGAGTGACAATAAAGTGGCCAGCTTTCTTGAAAAATGTCATGAAAGTGATATATACACTACAGGTCTGCAGCCATACAATAGCTTTGAACAGACTGAATTTAAGTCACCATTCACTATTTATGAAACTGTATGCAACTCTCAAATATGACTGATTAATATGATAGTGTTTGGTCCACAAGAGATGACATTGGATGTTATTGACTTCTTTGGTGCCATTTAATTTTTGAGTGCGTCAGAAGCGACAGAATAGTCACATGTATTCTTTGCCATTTTATAGTTATAGAATTTATTTATTTATTTAGTTAGTTAGTTAGTATGTATGTATGTATGTATGTATGTAACATAACAAAACAGGCACCAAAATCTGTAACCCGATAAAAAAAATAAAAAAAAACATTCACAGGATGCAAAGTACAGTTTTACAATAAATGTGCCTTTTACATGGACGTTCTGCATTTGTGAATAGTAATTTATCATTTGCAATTTTTAATATTTCCAGTACTTTTGTCTTCATGCTCAAATAGTTTCTTTCACATTCAGTGTTACAGTATCTTTAATTTCATGTAACTTTAAGGCATAAGGAGTCCTTAGTTATATAAAAAATAAATTATTATTTCCCCTATTCAATAAACTGGGAGAATAAAATGTTACTTGGGTAGTTTTGTATAAAAGATTATGTAAAAATTTTTAGAAAACAGGTAATGTCCTCCCAGAAAATTACCAGTACATTTTCCTTCAACCCTGAAACACAAGGCATTATGTAAATATTCAAAATATCGGTAAAATCGATACTGAAAATTACTTCATATTAACAGTATTAACAGTACACTGGGTCATTTTTTTTTTCTTAGAGTGTAGTTTTATAGTGAAGCAGCTAATACAAGGTATTGCAATATAGGATATGATTCAGAAACCATGTGTGCAACATAGATATATGATATATCATCTCACTGGTCTGCAACACATTAACCGTCATAGCAACCTATGTCAGTATAACCTACAAACACTATCACGCATTCAGATATTTAGCTGTCTGGAAGGCTTGCCCTAAATCCCAACAATTTCAGTACAACTGAATGTTTAGCTACATATATCACATTCTTGATATGTTCACTCATGTTTATAAATGTCAATGTCTACCTATAGTCTGCTCTTACCTGATCCTCTGTAGATACAGAACATAGGTTAAGCCTCTTTGCTTGATTGCCACCTCCTGAAAATCTGCCTGTGCTTCTATTACACACTTCATTGGCTTTTCTTCCATCACCTACACTTGAAGACACATGTTTTTGTGTGATAAGCGAAACAAACATTCCCTACAGTCATTTTACCAAAATTACATTCCCAACATAATATCTGTATTACCTTCTGCTAAACATATGACTGTGTCTATCTCACTATACTTGTCTTATACTAACCATAGGCCACCAGTATGCCCCTGACCTCTGATCGGTGCAATATATCTCCCAAATGTCGACTGGAGGGGGCAGTAAATGGGACAGGCAAGCATCAGCCCTCAGGGCTTTAGGGCCTGCACTGGCTGTCATTATAGACTATGAGATGCAACATTTGCTCTGAAAGTATATGCATTTATATAGACAGTATAGACCTAAAAAAGACAATTGAATGTGAGATCTACATCACCAATATAGAGACCACATCTTTACACCCAACTTAAGTAGGTGGCTTTATTATTGTGGGTGGAGGTTTTCTATGTAATCCAAACCTTTCCTAATGTCTTCATCAGTTATTGAATTCTGTGGCTGGAAGAGTAGGTTCAGTGTTGGTGGGTTTGACAAATGAAAACAGATGTTTTCCTAAAAAAAACAAAAAAAAAAAAACCATCTGGCTTGGTGTGGATAAGTGTTTGCTTTGGTTAGTGAAGGATAGATAGAGCTTTGAAGTCTACAAAAGATACAGGCCTAAACCAATACACTTCAGAAAATGGTGTTGATCTCAGCTTCAGTACTGTTGCATTATCCCTAAATGAAATGCAATTCCATATCTTAGGCATGCTTAAGAAATGCAAATATCCTCCCCTCTACACTCTCTCTCTCTCTCTCTCTCTCTCTATCTCTCTCTCTCTATCTCTCTCTCTCTGTTGGAAGACAGTGTAAGATCTTTATTGACAGTTTTGATTATGCTTAAAGCTTGGAATTTCTGCTTTTCTAAACAATGAGCACTTTTAGAGGAAATAATTTTAATCTTTAATACAAAAAAAAATCAGTTTAGGCCCTTTCGCACCAAGTACAATAACTATAATGATAAAGTTTTAACAAGCATTCTAATTCTATAAAAATAGTCCACACCACAACTATAACAATAATGACACAGAGACACAATGCTGTTGGAATCACTTTCAGAATGATTTTCCCCAGCTGATAAACAATAAAAACATCAACAGCCAATCAGAATTCATCCTCCTTTAAATAACGTGAGCATTTAAAGCGGCAGATGACATACAGTAACTGCAGCATGTGCTTGTAATAAACATAACAATATTGTGTGTTGGTGCAGACACCAATATAGTTATTGCTTTTGGTGGGAACTGGCCTTAACAGTTAAATAAACAAATACGCGGCCAGTTTGTGTATAAAAAGTAAAGTATGGAATTTTCTGCTTTTTTGAAACAATGAACAGCTTCCCTTTTTAATACTAAATCAGTAAGAGCTAAAATAAACCAAATAAATGGCTGCAGTGTGTTTAAAATGTAAATGATTTGATATGACCCTGAATGAATAAATTATATTGTTCAAATATAATATGAGTGGTTCGATTATATCATTTTCCCCTACAGTATAAAATTCAAGTTCATTTCTGGGCTTGAAATTTTGTGGAGACAAGCAGCTGGACCAAAGAACAGCCAGATTGCTGACTGAAGACCTCTATTACCTTCCCAGCTCAGCTGTTAATGATTGAAAAGGAAATGGAGCTTCATGTCACTGAGCGCTGAGGATCTGCTGAAGAGGGCATCTCAGGCTTTAGATGCTGTGAAGGTTAATGCAGAACAAAACAATTTGTCTGTCTTTATGCAAACTGTCATTATGCTATGGGAAGAGAGGCCAGCTGCACATCTTTCAAGTACATTTGAGAGACAACTTGACAGTCAGATTCACAACTGCTATTTTCACCATGTAAATATTTTTCTTGTTCTGATTTGCCACTGACTCAAGTGCATAATAGTAATAAATTATTATTATTATTACTACAACTACTACTACTACTACCACCTGTGAACCATCTCAGTATGCATCAAAGCATGTGCCAGAGACTGTGTGCATGCATTCATTCCCAGATGGGTGCTTTATCTTTTTCATCTATCTTTCCGCACCACAAAACGATTTCTGTCACTCTACATTTGCATAAGGTCTTGGTGTTTACTATTCTATTTTCATGCACTGAGCTTAGGTGTCTTTTGTATCAGAATTACACTTTCAGCCTTATGGCATATGAAATTACCTGCATTATTCAAAAGCACAAAATTAAAAAAATATAGCACCAAGCACCAAGCACCGAGGGTAGACAATGACAAATGAAGCCAAGTTACTCCAATGACTCTGCAATGAAGAGAGGTAGAACGATGAGGTATTCTAAGAAAACAACTGTTTAAAAGATGGATATAGGAGATTATGTGCTAATTTTATGGATGACCATTAGGACCTAAGGCTCCTAGACCCACATTAAAAATATATTTCCCATTTCCATTTCAGATTAAGTTCTTAATCACAATAGTCCTGCTCTGGGTAAGCTTTAAATAAAAGAAATGAAAATCTCATCAATTATAACCTCCGTAGAAGGTTAATTTAAAAGATTGTATGGTTGTTTCCTGGATTGATTTGGATTAACTGACTAAGGTATTGCCCAAGCAATAATACTAATATTAATATATAAGCTCAATATTTTCTACTGTATTAGAGAGATTAATATCTGAAATACTTGAATTATGTACTGAATGTGATAAATGATTTAGCATGAGAACAACATTAAAAACAGAGAAGACTAAGCCTATGAACCGTTTAAGGTTAATTATTTTATAGGTTAGTTGATGATAGATATAAATTACTATTTAGAAACTATATCATTATTCACATTATTTATAATGTGACATAAGTGTCAGTGACAATTTGTCGATTTGTAAAATTTCCATTTGGAAACCAACATGAACACAAATACTAGGCCTACATTTGGAACAATATGATTTATAAAAGATTTGTAAAATGACAAATAGGAATGGCAGACAAATCGAAAGTTTACAAATCGAATTATTTTACAAATCTTTTATAAATCGTATTGTTCCAAATGTAGGCCTAGTATTTGTGTTCATGTTGGTTTCATACATTTTTAAAAAATCTGTAACAGAACATTTTGATTTAATGACTCTTAAAATGTAAAGTGATTAAATAAATCATAAAGTAATAAAATGTGTTCCATTCACCTTAAACACGTTTGTCTCACCCCCCCCCCCCAATAAATAAATACATACATACAAACAAAAATCATGAATATCGTGCTAATACATTTGCCCTAAACCTTTCACAAAAATTAACATTAACATTAAAAATTTAAAAATAAATAAAAATACAATTATTTTAAAAACAAAAAAGGAGTCTTCAACGGTCTTTTCTGTGATATATATATTTTTAGTTTTATTCCTTTATTGTAAAGAATTACCCAAAATGTATATTGCTAGAAATAAAATACAATTAAATTGAATGAAATTAAATAAAATATAACAAAATAATAAAAATAAAATAAAATAATAAATATTATAAAATATTTTATACTGCTTCCTTGGGTCTGTAAGGATAAAAACCCCGGTCTAGAGAAAAGATTATGTTGATGAATGCCTTTAACGTGATCTGCACACGTCAGACGTGCATTATATAACTTGTGAGAATGTGTCTAGGCAGATCAGAAAAGTGCGACGCAACATTTTCACGCTGCAGTGCGTTCTTCATAGCCTGACCGTTACATAAGGACACCCGAGTTCCCAACTTTGTCCCACGGTGTGATAAGCAGACAGCGGAGGCGTGGTCTCTGACGTCACTCGGGCTGAACAGTACTACAGCACTAGTCTGGCTGGATGTCTGACTCAGCCACGCAGGTTATTTGGGAATATATTTTAAACGCATGTTTTAACTAAACAGACCATATAATGCTCGCTCGTTCCTCTTGCTTTGGACAACGCGCATCTTGTATTTTGGGCGGTTTGGGGAAGTGCGACAGGAGGTAAGTTATAGTAAGCAATATCACGCGAGTCGAGTTTCTGCACGCTGTACACAAGTTGGCACTGTCCCAGTCACGCGCTGTAAATCAGACATGTAGTCTACATGTCATTTTGTATTGAATTGCTCAGCGACTGATTAACACAGGTGATGTGATGCTATGCATGCAGTACAATGCTTTTGCATATTAGCTACAATCCAATAATGCAGGCGTTATTTTATTGAAATGCAAAGTTGCTTTTTTAATGCAAGGATTATAATTTCAAGTTGATTTGAGTTAGAATTTGTGAAACTAACTGTAAAATGAATGCTTTCAGGTTTTAAGGTCTTTATCAAGAAGATGAACAAGGCTCTTGCTCTGGCATTTGATAAATAGACTGGCAATGTCTATGTTAATATCTTTCTGACCACACCTGCTAATGGACTGAGAGGTTACTTCAATAAAGGTTTAATTTCTATATGTGGACTAGTGCCAACGCTGCAGAAAAGCCCATCGTCCCGATTCCAGGTCACTGTGTCCCCGAATTTGTGCTACCACTGTCCTGCACCCTCGCCCGTCTGTTCATCCCTTGCTTTATAGGGCAGTTTTTGCTTTCTCTGACCCTGTTTTGTATCTTGCCACAGACTGCTAGAATTCGCTTCAAATAAATTTGTACTTTTTATGTATGGATCAAATCTAGAACTGCGCAATAACAGCCTCTGCCCAACATACGGTACTGTTGGAGTTTTAACCCTTGCAAGAAACCCAGCTGAATGTCAGTAAGCTCTCAGGATTTAACCCAAGAACTTTCCAAGTGAGTTCGCACTCAGGATTCCAGGTCAGTTTTAAACAAGCATCAAACATCACAGAGCTCATGTAAAGAACAAATCATGAGCTCTGACAGTTTCCAGTACCGTGCACTGTTCGAGTACAAGCAGGAGAGGGGTGACGATATCTCCCTGCAGCCTGGAGATCTCCTCACAGTCAGTAAGATGGCACTGCTGACATCCGATTACCAGGAGGGTGATGAGAAGTGCCCAAAAGGCTGGCTGCATGGCACCAATGAACGCACAAAGGAGAAGGGCAACTTCCCCGGCACCTTTGTGGAGTATGTTGGGGTCGTGAGGACGGGCCTTACTTCAGGGAAGCCCTGGCCGAGACCTGTACCACCAACACCTGTAGGGCCCCAGCCCCCAGTGGCCGCTGCTTCAGAGGGTGAGTGTTACCATTATGTTTATTTAACATGCTTTATATAACAATAAATAAATAAATATACAATGATATAAAATTATAAATATAAATTTATAAAACGTATATGTATATGTACTTATATAATTGTAAATTGTACTTAAAAAAAAAAAAAAAAAAGGTTAAAATATCATAATAGAATGAAAAATATTACCACATCTCTATGGCATCCATAATCTTATACCCTCAATATTCAGAGCAGGATGGCTAATTATCTCCTCCCCACATTTGGATTAGGCAGCACAACCCTGTAATAAAACGCTTCACTTGAAATTTGAGGACATTGTGTGCAAATCACAGACTTCAGCTCCCAGTAGTAACATTACTTCCAGTGCTGAAAATAGGGATCTGTCAAGGATTTGTGAATGTCTTTGAGAAAGATATAAGAAATAAGTACTTGCATAAATGGCAATTTTAATTCAAAAAATTCAAAATGTTGTGTTAAGCTCTTTATGGGGCCTGCGTTGCCCCTGTGTTTCTGACTGTGGTACAGTCTGCTTGTGGGGGTGTTCATATGCTAACTAGGTCAGACAGCCAACTCTGGTTGTTCCAAGAGTGCTCTTCTCTCTTACTGTCTAGGGCACATGTCTCTTTTATGGTGAAGGTTTAGGTTGTATTTATACTATTTATGTGTTTTATACACTGTAGATCCTCTTTTAGTGGCTTACTGAGTTCTTTTGTTTCAGCCAAGGCGCAGAGATGGTGATAAACAGCATAGCAAAGCCATTCCTTAGTGTCAGGAGAGGCAAAAACATGCAGTTCTGTTGAATAATTGATCACTGGTGCATTGGATGGCTGACAGTCAGCCAATCATTAGACTCACCCTGTACCAAGAGATTCTTGTGGAACACTGACGAAACACTTACGCTGATTATAGAGAGTTTTATGAGCCTAGCAAATTGTCAAGTTTACAGAATTTATCAAATGGGTCATTTTTTTATTATTATTTTTTTTTTTCAATCAAGCATTACAAAATGGAAGCTTTTGGAACAGTGAAAATGGAACAACAGTCCAGTACTGTGCCAAAGACTTTGAACTTCTTACACTGATGTATTATTTGTACAGGTGCATCTCAATAAATTAGAATGTCGTGGAAAAGTTCATTTATTTCAGTAATTCAACTCAAATTGTGAATATCTTCAGAGTTTGGAAGTGTGGTTGATCTACTTACAGAGTGTAGTTAAACAAAATAAAATTTTAAGCATTGAACATTATTTAGGATTCTGCAATGGATATGGGCAACTGGACCCCTCCCCATGGCCTCTGCTTTGAATGATAATATTAAATAATATTTAAATAATGAATATTATGAATGCATTTAACATTTAAAATGATTTTACATTTAAAACAGACAAAATCTAGCCTGAATTTCAGTTCCCAACACTGCAATCCATTCTCTTCAGTTTTCAATTTAAATTTGTATTATTTTAATTGATGTGAATTTTCCAAAAATGAAAACATAATTTTTTTACAATTTATTTTTTATTTTTATTTTTTATTTATTATTATTATTATTATTTTATTATTTTATTTTTTTGCTCAATCCTTTTAAAGTTTAAATAATTTTTTGGTCAAACATCTTTTCACTATACAGATTTGCTGGTTAGTGTTCACCCAGATGGAACCTTTGGATGAAATGACATATACAAAGTCTGTATACTGTATGTGTGTGTGTGTTTTTTTATCTGCTATGTTCCCATTATTGGATTGTGCTTAACCCATCTGAAAGCATTCTGGTTGTTTTAAGATGCATTAAGTGGCTCTGCATTGGCCTGTTGGACTGCGATTGTGTTAGACAGATATGTCTTAGACAAATGAGACCTTAAACTCAGCCAAGAAGACCCACGTAAGATTGCATTCTTCCTCTGTGAGTATGGGAGCAGCAGTATCCCTGAGTTGAGGGCTAAAACACATGCAGTATAAATATCTAGTATAAATATATAGTTCAGTCATGACACTCTATGATGCAGGCAAATGGGTCTTTAAAGGGTTATGACTACTTTTTCTGAGATTTTAGCAGAGGTGTTTGTGTTGCACATCATAGAAGACAATGTTAGCATCCGATAATTTTAACTGTTGGAGAAAACTGGTTAATTTTAAGCTTTTTTGCACTATTTTCATCTTCCGGGTTTAAAATCTACATTGTGTTGACGTCACAATTTGTGACGTGGCAATGGACTAATAGTACATCAATGACGCTTCGGTGTCTATTAAATTATTCATGAGACTGTGTTCTTATCCTATGAGAAGACGCTTCGCTTAATTATTCACACCAGCATGTGTTGATTTGCTATGACAGACGTTTCAGACTGAGATGACATCGCGCACAATAACTCATGAGAGAAACATTCTTGGATCAAAGAAGAGGCTTTGTTTTTGCTTTCTAATAAGAGTTCGGCACAAACGCGATTCATTCACTTGGTGAGCATAACCGTTTTTACAGCTCTGTGACACAACCCGTCAAAAGGCTTATATAAACGCCACAGAATAAGCCTTAAAGGTTCTCAGAGGTGCAACAGCGCGTTCATATATATGTTTTCGATGCAGAGTGCAAATGGCTGTGCATTTATTTGTGTTTTTAACTCGATGGGAGCGAAATGAAACTGTCAGAATGCTAAGCTGTGTGTGTGTTGTCTGTCTCCCCTCTATCCCCTCCTCCGCTCCGCTGCGCACCACGCCCACTTTTTTAGCATTTTTTAAAACTGTGGTGAGAACTAACCAGTGCTGAAACGGGGGGTTTCATGACCCTTTAATGCAATTTACTAGCTGTCACATAATCACTTCATGGCTCAAGCTGATTGGTCTCCGTTTCATTTTCAGCCAGTGAGCTTTCTTGCTTAACATTTAAATAGTTTGATTCTGTGTTTGCTGTAATAAGATCTTGCAGAACCCTACGCCTCCCCCAGTTCCACCCTATAGTTCTGCTCTGGGTAATTTCATGTATGCTATTTGTGCAGTAACAGTACATGCTCACAGCAGCTTGTCTGAGGATTCATTAGCAGTAGCAAGTCTCTGTAATGCTCTGTAAAGTCTCTGAATAAAAGTACTACTAAAAAAAGAAGATTTGACTTCAGACTAAGAAGTATTCCTAAACATTATTTTTTTATTTATTTATTTATACATAACTGAATGGATTGTTGGAAAGTTGGCAAAAATGATTGTTCCCATGTGTCTCTAGGACTTTAAAGAGTCATTTTGATCCATATAACCCTTAATGTAGTATGGTGTTGCTGCTTTTTCTGACGTGGTATTGTCTCTGGACAGTTGCTGAAGTGGATCATTTCCAAGATTCAACATATGCTGCTTTGTGTATTAGCATAGTTTTATAAGGTCAGCAGCCATCTCCTTCATTTTTGGCTCTTCTCTCAATCCCTTCTTCTCTATCAGCCTCTGCAGAGGCATCATTAGCATTTTGTGGTCGAGCAAATTTGCTCCAGTGTTGCAAAAAGTGGCCCATTTTACTTAATAACAGCTTTATGTCATGTCTCCTGGACATACAATTGGTCAGATGTTGGGTAGGCAGATTTTCTGTGCCGAGATGATCCATTCCACAGCTGGTTTCTCTCTTTGTCTTTTTCCCACTATGAATATACTGACATGTTCCAAGGCAACAACGAGGCAAAGATCAACTTATTAGCTGCCCACCAGCACAGTTAAAGTGTCAGTCAAAGCATGCAGTCTTCACATTCACCATTATCCTTGTTATTGACTTGTGATCCATCTCCTTTGATCACTGATGCCTGATTACTTTGACTCTCATTGCTCAAAGGCCTTGTGCAGTTGTATGGTTGATGAGGAAAAGCCACTTTTGGTGTCACGCTCTGATCAAGCACACAGTGATGTGTTAATAGATGAGTCGGAGAGCTGCTAAGTGGGATGGTGGTTTTCGAAAGGACTCAGGAAGAAGCATGAGCAACTCTTTCTGGGATCAATTTTCCAGACGTGCTGGTCAGGCATCATGGCTATATTTGCAGCTAGGCTTAATGAGGAACTGAGCAATGACCGAGAGTGCAGTCCTCCATAGAGTATACTGAGGACAAACAAACAAACAAACAAAAAAAAAACTTCTTTCTACATTAGAAATAACCCCAGCACTGCAGTATATGAGGAGAATTATGTCACAGATATGCTTGGGTCAATCTAGTTTTTTTTTTTTCTCTCTCTCGCAGATTCTAGTGCTTTCACAGAAACAGGTGTTATTTCTCATGATTTGAGAAGTGTAGTAGTGTAGTAGCATTTTATTATGCATGGTATTCAAAAAATAATTGCTTATGGGGTTGGTAAGAATTTTTTAATATTTTTAAAAGAAGTCTCTTATGCTCACCTGCAAGGTAACAACAGTAACAACAATACTATTGCTAACTGTTTTCTGTTTGAATATGTTTTATCATGTAATTTATTCCTGTGAATTTACAACATCCATTACTCCAGTCTTGCATATTCTAAAATACTGATTTGGTGCTCAAGTAACAATTCTTCTTATTTTTAGTGTTGAAAACAGTGTTGCCTAACAATTTCTTAATGTATAGAAAGTTTAAAAGAGCTGCTTTGTTTGTACCATTTATTGTATTGTATTATATTATATTGTATTTACTGCCGCATTTAATGCATCCTTTCAGGTAATAAAAATATTGATTTCTTTCAAAAAAACAAAAAAAAGGTACTGACCCCAAGGTTTTGAATGTGTTTATTTTTGCATTATACACTTGCAGTATAGACTTTAACCTAAAAAGGCAAGTTACCAGAGAAACCCAACAGTTTTCTCTGTGTAAAAATAAACTGAATACATTAATTACAAAAATGTATAAACTGACTGAACTCAGTTGGATAATAAACGCATAGCCCAAGGCCTTTCTTTTCAAATATGAATTAAAATAATTGTATTTAATCATGGTTATTAGGTAAGTAAACTTTCCACAAACCAATGCCTTTGAAAGCCTTAGTGAAGGTTAATGAAGGCTTTCTAA